TTGTTTTTTTTTATCGTCTCTAGTGCAACTTATCAATTTTGTTCCATCTTATATAATCTCTGAGTCTAGATATCGTTCGTTCTCGTTTAACTATAATCTCTTCGGACGACTAAACTCGCTCTGTCTTTTATTTTCTTTCTACTTTTTTATTTTTCATTATTCTTTTTTTTTACTTTTTTTTTCTGAGATGGGGGTATGTTCGTTCCCAACAATTTTACGGACTTATTCAACTGTATAATCCGCATGTAAATAAACGGAGTATATCTTCACCGGAAAAATATAAAAATAATTCTAAACAACAACAAAAAAAAAAATCACACCGTTCCGGACAATAGAAAGAGAATATTTTCCGGTGTATATATGGTCTGCCATGCGCGATATTTGTGTTTCTGATTTCCTTATCATCTTCCTTTTTCCTTAACCCGGACTTTTCCTTTATAGTATTTTGCACATGGGATAATATATTCAACCTTCTTTATGATAATTGCATATAAATATCAGATATTTTTTATAATACACATAGCTATCTATCTATATGTATATGTGTGTGTGTGGATGTATATATATATATATATATATATATATATATATATATATATATATAAATATAAAAGTGTACATTGAAGTTAAGGACACACACACACACACATATATATATATATATATATATATATATATATATATATATATATATATAAAGTGTACATTGAAGTCACCACCCAGAGAAGACAGACTGTTTCATGCTAAACGCAATCGATAGCCTGAGAATTGCGTTTAGCATGAAACAGACTGTCGACTCTCTCAGTTTCAGTTTCACACAAAGGCAACGAGAAAATCTACTGTTTTTTTCCCCTGAGAATTCACGCCAATATGTCGTCGTCGTAGTCGACCTTATCTCGTATCCATGAATTTAATTTCTTCTTTTCTGATCGCTTCATTTATGATGATAAAGTTGATGACTACATTCAACGCCAACTTCACCAGGACTGACAAAACCTGCTCCCGTCATCCCTTCCATCTCATCGTTTTGCTTTGCAAGATTTGATTGAAGGTGAAAGTAAACGAGAATAGAATAAAGTGCCGATGACGTGATTTTGTTTAAGGTGGATCACAACTAGTCAGAAAGTGACACACGCACTAGATTTCCTGACCTTCCTCTGCGGCACAAATGGAATAAAACATGCAGTTATGAACCTGCAACCTGTTATAATTTCAAGTGGCGTCTTCTGTAGTATGTCCATCATGCGTAGCCCTCATCATATGCTGGTTCAACCGTTGAGATCTGTTGTGACCATAATCTGCTTTTTCCACTGTTGGGATCTTTGGTGTTGGTCGCGCTTTGTCTGGGTCTTCGTTTTCAACCTTGTCGAGAAGGGTAGCCCCAGCAGGCATTTAGAACTCCCGACGGCACCATTCTCAGAGTCAGTGGATCACACAAGCCCCTCAACCACAAGGAGCGGCCATCATAGGTACGTACATTGAAGTATACACATACAGACACATATATATTTTACACAGGAGGAAACAGTTCGTCGTCAAATGTCACTTTAATAACAATAAATAAATTTAAGCGTTCTACTAGACTGGCATCTTGCTCACACCCTTTCACTGTCGAAACTGTTAAATGTAGTCGTCTCTTCTACTTCATATCTCGCATCTCCCGCCTGTGGAACTCCCCTCCTCTTCCTGTTTCCCTGATAGCTATAATCTCCAACTATTCAAATGGACGTCTCCAGATGCCCTGATCTATCTCCTATCCTTCTCTTCATCCTTTCCTCTATCACTCCTATTTGCTTTAGCTTCAACTCTTTGTAACCACTTGCGCGCTAGTGGCTTCCCGCATTGATTGGGGTGAAACGCTTAAAAAAAAGAAATAGAACAATAAATTGTTGTGGAGTATGTTCACAGTGGAGGCTTGTATTTCTAATAAGTCGTCCTGAATTAGGTCCGACGTACAAAACGTTAGGAACTTGGAAAATAAGAGTCAACGGCGCAGCAATCTAGTTGTGATGGTTGGTACTTCAAATGTCCGAATCTCGACTGACGCACTCAACACCATTCTGCCAGACTTGCCACTGCTACTCCTACTTATTATCTATGGGAGAGTCCATTACAATAGAATAGGTACTATGGCATAACAAAATAAGAAAAGAATTAAATCATTATCAAATATGAGAGCATTTTGATTATTCTCGTTGTTAAAAATATTTGAAAGATAAATAATAGAGAAGGAAATGAACTATTCTGAACCAATAGGAATAAAGAAAAATAAACAAAACGAAATAACGTTATGACTCGAAACCCTTTTCCTACAAATTTGAAAATACGTCCTCGTCTACAAAAATGTTACGTTACATATTTTATAATCAACAAATAAGAAAAGATAACAATAAAATTATCGGCAAATGTTAAAAACGTTAGCATTATAAATGATAAGGAAAGAAATCTAAAATACTGAACAAATAGTCAAAGATAAACAAAACATTATGACTCGAAATATTTTTTTACCATCTCGAATATTACGTCCCGTTTCATCTAAAAAGAAATGTTACGCTTCAATAAATAAAGAGGAATTATTAATCAATAAGTAAAGAGGAAATTGCAGAGAGCCATAATCGTTCATGTCTTGAAGTGGCATGTCACATAAAAGACGATAATTGCATTAACAGCATAAAGGATTAGATAGACCGGAGTTTACATGGAATGGGTAGAATATATTCGGCAACATCCTCTCCATATCGTGGCCTTTTGCCAGACTACGCTTAACTTAGTAGGTATTTCGTCGTGTTTATTTCACGCGTGCGTATTAGACAATATTATTCAGTCTCCCTTTCTTTTTCTGTCTTTCTCACTCTGCATTTCTCTTTTTCAATATTTCTCTTTCTGTCTCTCTCTCTTTTCTCTATCTCTCTCCCCCTCCCTTTCTCTGCTATACTTCACTTTTCTCTCTCTTTCAATTCCCTCAACTTCCGTTTTTTTTTTTCTGTCGCCGTTGTTACGGTATTTCTGTCCAATTCTGTTATTTTCTCTCACATTGCCCTCATAATCTGGTCTTTCTTTCTTTCTTTCTTTCTTTCTTTCTAAGCTTTTCTTTCTTTTCCCCTAAGTTTTTATATCTCTCTCTTTTCCTCTATATCTTTTTTCTCCATCTCTCTCTCGCTCTCTCACATTATCTTTCATTTGTTTTTATTCTGTTTTCTTTCTCTATATTTTCTGTATTTTTCAATAAATAAAAAGGAATTATTAATGCCAATGTATAAATCATTTAACAAAAAAGGTTCTTAATATAATAATTCCATATGATAATAGACATTTTTAATAAAGTAAGCTTCCTAAAACATTTTTAAATAAAACAACCGATGTATACCTCGACTTATCTTAAAAACAACGAAAACTAATTTCTATTTTAATAATCAAAGATTATAATTATATAATAATATCATAGAAATTATAATAAACAAAGAAAAATTGTAAAAATAAATGGATAATTAAAATAATCAAGACTTCCTATTAAAATTACAACATAGCAATGAACGACGACGTGCATTCACTCCGACAGCCAAACGATATCATCCAGAAATTTGCAGATAATAAAGAAAAGGAATTTCAGGAGAACAATGACAATCTCTATCCAGAATGGGCATAGTAATAAAAATATAGGTATGCTAAATCAAAATCCGAAAGAAATTTGAATAGGAAAAGATGACTTACAAAACCTAAGCAAAGTATTAAGAAACAGGAAATTTTCGTAAGAAACGAAGATTGCTGGATTGTTAAGTGATATCAGCGAATAATGCCTTCCAAAAGGTGAGCAAAAAATAAGAAACAGGAAAATTTCGTTAGAAACGAAGAGTGCTGAACTGTTACGTGTGACGTCGTCCCCCGGTCGCAGCGTCGACTGTGTCGTTCGATCCCGGTCGCGGCGCCAATTGTGACGTCACGTGCTCCCCAGGCTATGATATCCTGGTCACGGACAGCACCAACTGTGACGTCTTCGCTGCGGCGTCAGCTGTTCGCTCCTCGCTGCTCCAAACGTGACGTTCTAACCCTTTGGTTAGATTGATACCAGCCTCGCCGTTCCCAACCCGCTTCCAACGCCTGGTTACCAGGGTAACTGCACTGATCTCCAGTCTGCCTACCCACGTTGTGAATTGATCTTAGACAGACGAGATCAAACAGGGGTTGGGGACGTAATGCAAGTTGAGTCCAACGGGGGTGATAACACACAATTATGTATAAAAAGAAAATAAAATAAAACTTACAAGGTCCAACGTATCAAAGAAAAAGGTAACAAACTTTTTATGTCTATTTGCTCGGTACATAGGACTATGTCTACTTCCCGACCCGTTCTGTGGATTGTGGCACGACGCTTTTTACTAGGCAACTTTAAGGCTTCAAGTTGTCTGCTCTCTAAGAAATTTGTGTTTTTTTGTGTGTGTCTTTGGACGAAAGTCGAAAAAAACTTATTTCTGTGGTCTTGATTCTAAGTCGCTCTTCAAACTACTTGTTCTTGGTTGAAGAAGAGTCCAGAAGTGTGCGTGAATCTTGGTCAGCTATCTTGACGCGGTTTCAACACTGGGCGCTCATCTCTGCTTGTCGTCCAAGGTTCAAAACTTCTCGCCAGGGTCCGCGGCTCAATCTGACTTCTTCTCTCCGGCTTGGGTCGAACAAACTGAACTGATTTCTGTCAGTTGGGGTCTCGTTTTTTATTGACGCCGTCAAAACTGGGGTGGGTCTGTCGGCGCCAGGGTTCTTCGATAATTCTTAATACGTATCCACCCTTATTTCTGGTTAGGGATTTTTCATTCTTTTCCATTTTCGGTAACTCACTCTCACTCCCACTCCCTTACTGTGCCTCTGAGGGGCGTGTACCCGCTTCCCCGCTTCTTCGTATCGGCTTCTTATACTTACACTCCTGACAGGGGCGTCGACCGATTCTCCTCGTGCGTCACGTGACCGCTCTCGGCCAATGAGGTCCTGGTCGGGTATCTTTCCTCCTCCTTCGTGTGTCATGTGATCTTATTTAGCCAATGACGTCTTTAGTCGGGCGTGGACAATCCGTGGGCTTTGTTTTGGGAAAAGAAATACCTTGCTTAAAAAACAAAAAATATTAATTTAAATCGCCCTTATTATGAGCGACTGAGATGACACTTTCGGCTTTTTAACACGTGGTATTTGTCAAGCAGTTTATCGCTAATTGGATATGATCTAAGAAAGGAATTTCTCAGACTCGTTGGCGTTTCTGAAACGGAATAAAAATATTTCATTTTCCCTCCGCTCGAAGGTCTGATAATAAAAATCTTTATTATCTCAAAAAATTTTGCCAGTGACCACCTTGTGTGGGCTTTTTCTAATTCTGAAGACTGTCTATGTTTTCGTATTAATGGTTTGTCTTCATATCCTTAGATACACTTCCATTTTTCGCGGATCCGCGGAAATCGGTCAGATGTTTGACCTGAATATTTTTCGATACCTGTTATCTGTCAGCCGTGCGTTTGTGTGCTCGCCTATGACCTGTTTTCGTATTATTTTTTCTTTCTTTCTTCTTCGTTTTCCCTTTCTTTTTCCCAGATCACTTGAATGTAAAAAAAGAATTATTCTTAAAACCCAAAATATTTTTTGGCCTTAAATAATTATTAAATGGTTGATAAACCGTAAAAAACAAATCATATATCTATGAATATTTCTCTCAGCTCGTCAGGTATGCATGGAATTACTTGGACACAATAAGGAAAGAATGGCTTCGAAAATTTGACACGCAGATTTAGTTTAGTTTGGTTTGTTTACAGCATATCAACCTCAATGGGTTATTTAATGCCGACAAGATTTTTATTGCTGGTAATATATTTTTCTTCTAAAATGTATTGCAGGTAATAATGTATTGCTGGTAATATTTTTTCCTCAAAAAATTTATGACTGGTATTAAAAGCTATTTTTACACTTTCATAGCGTTTTGTCCCCTGTTTGGGGGTTAATTATTTGGCCATATTTGGGACCCTAACAAGTGATACCACCCCAGATCAGAGTGGACCTGGAAACACCAGAAATTAAGAGATTATTCCACGCTCCTCAAACCTCTTGATCAGAGGCCTTGCTGTTGGACGTAGTTTATCGTCTTACCCAACACGCTTGACACTCAGGTGACATATAAAAGGCGAGAGAGAAAGACAGTTAGGGACGATGCGCCACCTGGCGTGCTTACGTGAATATATGACAAAACAGGGAATTGATCGTATAGTGAAGGGAGAAACATTAATAAAAGCTACAAACGATAGGAAATTGCAGAGAGCTGTGATCTTTCATGTCCTGAAGTGGCATGTCACATAAAAGAAGATAATAGCATTAATAGCATAAAGGATTAGATAGACCGGAGTTTACATGGAATGGGTAGAATATATTCGGCTTCATCCTCTTCATATCGTGGCCTTTTGCCAAACTACGCTTAACTTAGGTATTTCGTCGTGTTTATTTCACGCGTGTGTATTTGACAATATTATTCAGTCTCCCTTTCTTTTTCTCTTTCTCTTTTTCAATATTTCTCTTTTTGTCTCTCTCTCTCTCTTTATCACTATCTCTCTCTCCCTCACTTTCTCTGCTATACTTCACTTTTCTCTTTTCCTCTTTCACTTCCGTCAACTTCCGTTTTTGTTGGGGTTTTTTTGTTGTTTTTTTTTTTTTTTTGGGGGGTTGTTTTTTTGTTTTTTTTTTTTTTTTTTTTTTTTTTTGGGGTTTTTTAGGGGGTTCTGTCACTGTTGTTTCTGTATTTCTGTCCAATTCTGTTTTTTTCTCTCACATTACCCTCAGAATCGGGTATTTCTCTTTCCTTCATTCTTTCTTTCTTTCTTTCTTTTTTCTTTCTTCCTCTCTCTCTTTCTTTCTTCTCTCTCTCTTTCTTTCTTCTCTTTCTCTCTTTTTAAGCCTCTCTTTCATTTCCCCAAGTTTTATCACTCTCTGTTTTTCTCTATAGCTTTTTTTTTCTCCACCTCTCTCTCTCGATCTCTCACATTCTCTTTCATTTGTTTTTATTCTCTGTCTTCTTTCTCTCTATTTTCTTTCTTCCTCTCTCTCTTTCTTTCTTCTCTCTCTCTTTCTTTCTTCTCTTTCTCTCTTTTTAAGCCTCTCTTTCATTTCCCCAAGTTTTATCACTCTCTGTTTTTCTCTATAGCTTTTTTTTTCTCCACCTCTCTCTCTCGATCTCTCACATTCTCTTTCATTTGTTTTATTCTCTGTCTTCTTTTCTCTCTTTCTTTCTTTTCTCTCTCTTTTCTTTCTTCTCTCTCTCTTTTCTTTCTTCTCTTTCTCTCTTTTAAGCCTCTCTTTCATTTCCCCAAAGTTTTATCACTCTCTGTTTTTCTCTATAGCTTTTTCTCCACCTCTCTCTCTCGATCTCACATTCTCTTTTCATTTGTTTTTATTCTCTTTCTTCTTTCTCTCTATTTTCTTTCTTCCTCTCTCTTTCTTTCTTCTCTCTCTCTTTCTTTCTTCTCTTTCTCTTTTTAACCTCTTCTTTATTTCCCCAAGTTTTATCAATCTCTGTTTTTCTTTATAGCTTTTTTTTCTCCACCTCTCTCTCTCGATCTCTCATTCTCTTTTTCATTTGTTTTTTATTCTCTGTCTTCTTTCTCTCTATTTTCTTTCTTCCTCTCTCTTTTCTTCTCTTTAAGCTCTTTCTTCTCTTCTCTCTTTCATCTCTTTTCTTTCCCAAGTTTTATCCTCTCTGTTTTTCTCTATAGCTTTTTTTTCTCCACCTCTCTCTCTCGATCTCTCATTCTCTTTCATTTGTTTTTTTCTTCTGTCTTCTTTCTCTATTTTCTTTCTTCTCTCTCTTTCTTTCTTCTCTCTCTCTTTTTTTCTTCTTTTTCTCTTTTTAACCTCTCCACATTTCCCAAACTTTTATCACTCTCTTTTCTATAGCTTTTTTTTCTCCTCTCTCTCTCGATCTCTCATTCTCTTTCATTTTGTTTTATTCTCTGTCTTCTTTCTCTCTATTTTCTTTCTTCCTCTCTCTCTTTCTTTCTTCTCTCTCTTTTCTTTTTTCTCTTTCTCTTTTTTTAAGTTCTCTTTCATTTCCCCAAGTTTATCACTCTCTGTTTTTTCTATAGCTTTTTTTTTCCCACCTCTCTCTCTCAGTCTCTCACATTCTCTTTTGTTTGTTTTTTATTCTCTGTCTTCTTTCTCTCTTTTTCTTTCTTCTCTCTCTCTTTTCTTTCTTCTCTCTCTCTTTCTTTCTTCTCTTTCTCTTTTTAAACTCTCTCTTTCATTCCCCAAGTTTTATCACTCTCTGTTTTTTCTCTATAGCTTTTTTTTTTCCTCTCTCTCGATCTCTCACATTCTCTTTCATTTGTTTTTTATTCTCTGTCTTCTTTCTCTCTTTTTCTTTCTTCCTCTCTCTCTTTCTTTTCTCTCTCTTCTTTCTCTTTCTCTCTTTTAAGCCTCTTTTCATTTCCCCAAGTTTTATCACTCTGTTTTCTCTATAATTTTTTTCTCCACCTCTCTCTCTCGATCTCACATTCTCTTTCATTTGTTTTTTGGTTGGATGTCTTCTTTCTCTTTCTATTTTCCTCTTCATTCTCTCTTCTTCTTTCTCTCTCTTTCTTTTTCTCTTTCTCTCTTTTTAACCTCTTTTCATTTCCCCAAGTTTTATCAAATCTGTTTTTCTCTATAGCTTTTTTTTTCTCCACCTCTCTCTCGATCTCTCATTCTCTTTCATTTGTTTTTATTCTCTGTCTTCTTTCTCTGTATTTTCTCTATTTTCCTCACTTTCTTCGTCTTTTTATGACTTTTCTTTCACCTTCTCTCTCTCTGTATCTCTCTCTCTCTCTCTCTCTCTCTTTCTCCTTCCTTCATCTTTCTTTTACTATCTCTCTCCTTTCTGTACTTTTCCCTCTATTTCTCCCGTATTTTCTCTTCAGTCCACATCCTCTTAATTTATTTTCACTCTTCCCTCTCCTTCTATCCCTCTCTATTTCAAGCCACCTTTTCTCTATTTTTCTCCCACTATTTATTTCTCACTTCCGGTTTTTCTTCTTTTTGTTTTCTTCAACGGTTTCTACCATTTTCTCTGTTTCCTTCACCTTTCTTTTACTCTTTCTCTCTTTTTCTCTCAATATCTCCCTCGCTCTTTATCATTATGACTCTTCCCCTTTCTCTCTAACACCTTTCAATAATTTTCTCCTAATCTCTCTCTCTCCCTCTCACTTGGTTTATCTAGCATTTATTTCATTTTTTTTTGTTTTTCAGCGATTCTTTCTCTCTTCTTATCTTTCTTGTCTTACTCACCCTCTCTTTATCTGCCTTTCTGTCTTTCTTCACTTTTCTCCTCTTTTTCTTTTACGCTCTCTATATGTGATTATCTGTTTTCTTCTTCTAACCTCTCTCTCTCTCTTTCCCTTATTTTTTCTCTCACAATCTTTTTTCTCGACTCTATCTCTCTCCCTATCCTTCTCACTCCCTCTTCTTTAATTTCTCTGTCTCTCAATCAGCATTTATCTCTCAATTTCTCATCGTTTTTCAATCTTTCTCTCTCTCTCTCTCTTTTTTATTCTTTAAGTTTTCTTTCTCTTTTCATCTTTTCCTTATCAACCTTTTTCCTTCTCTTCTTCCAATCCATTTTTCTCTCTCAATCTCTCATCCATTCTCTCTCTTACTATCTTCCTCTCCGTTTTTATCGCCAACCTTTCTATCTGTATTTCATCCAATTTTTCAAATATAACTTTACTTCCATCTCGCCCTCTCTCTCTCCCTCCTTCTCAATCCACATTTATCTCTCAGTTTCTCATCCTTTCTCTCTCTCTCTTTCTCTCTCTCTCTCTCTCTGTTTTTATTCTTTAATGTTTCTTTCCGTCTTCCTTTTCTTTTTCCTATCAAACTTTTACTTCACTCTCAATCCATTTTCTCTCTCACTCCTTTTCTCATTCACTCTATCTGTGTTTTATCTCTTTCCCAATAGAAAATTTTCACCGCTTCTCTCTCACTTTTCTTCTCCTCATTACAGTTTTATCTCTCAATTTCTCATCCTTTGTCTCTCTTTCTCTCTCCACTTTTTATTCTTTGACTTTTCTTTCCGTCTTTTTCTTTTTTTCCTATCAAACCTTTTTCCTCCCACTTTCCCTCTCAATCTATTTTTCTCTCTCATTCTCTCATCCGTTCTGTCTCTTTCTCCGTTTTTACCTCTAACCTTTTTACCTGGATTTTAACTCTATTTCACTGTAAAATATTCCCCCGCTTCTCTCTCTCTTTCTCTCCTCCTCCTCCTCCTCCTCGGTATACTTTTATCTCTCAACTTCTCATCCTTTCTCTCTCTCTCTTTCTCTCTCCTTTTGTTCTTTCACTTTTCTTTCCTTCTTTTTCTTTTTCTCCTATCAAAACTTTTACCTCCCAATCTCCCTCTCAATCTATTTTTGTCCCTCAATCTCTCATCCATTCTCTCTCTCTCTTTCTCTTTATCTCTCTCTCTCTCTCCTCTCTCTCCGCCCCTCTTCTCAATACACTTTTATCTCTCAATTTCTCATTCTTTCTCTCTCAGTAACTCTCTTTTTATTCTCTAAACTTCCTATCACTTTCCACTTAAAAAAACAAACTCTTTCACCCACTCTCTTTAACCATTTTTCTCTCTATCTTGAGCAATTTATTCGTCGCCGCTCAGATACTTTCCTTAAAGTAGATTAAAAAAAAAAACAAGAAAATAAGAGAAAAAGGGCAATTCTCCAGTAATATTTCTTTTATCTTTAAAACTTATTACTGATTGTGTCAGTATTTCTTTCAAGTAAACCAATGATGTCTTCAGTTATACCGTCTGCTGAAAATCTTAACTTAGGGACATTGATTCGTTGGCGCCCAGGCGTATTTTTTTTCGGCGACTGGGTGTCGAGTCGATTACATAAAGCCGAGATTTTTAATATGCACGCCGAGAAATGTACGCATTGACAAAGTAGATATTCTTGTATTTTATGCGCGTTTCGTCAAAGTAGAATATATTTTTATTTGTCGGTGCTTTTAGCAAGATGACTGAGCCTGAAAATGTGTGTACTCCAGTTATGAAGAGTCAAAGATAGATAGATAGATAGATAGATAAATAGATAGATAGATAGATAGATAGCACACCAGACAGATATATAGGTAGATACTTACTATAGATAGATAGACAGACAGACACTAAATATAGATAGATAGATAGATAGATAGATAGATAGATAGATAGATAGATAGATAGATAGATAGACGAACAGAATCTTTATATAGATAAATACAGACTTAGACTAATATAGAAATTGATAGATCGATAGATAGATAGATAGATACATAATATATGACAAATCTTTATAGATAGATAGATGAGGCTAAATACAGATTGATAATAGATAAACAGATGATAGATAGATAGATAGATAGATAGATAGATAGATAGATAGATAGATGAACAGAATCTTTATATAGATAAATACAGACTGAGGCTAAATACAGATTGATCAATAGATAAGCAAACAGACATAGATAGATAGATAGATAGATAGATAGATAGATAGATAGATAGATAGATAGATAGATAGATGCGTACTTATATCTGTGCAGCTGCTTATTTACGAATGTCGATTTCAAGTCAGACGGACTGCAGTCAAAGCAGGTGTTGCTGCTAGTTGTTTCCACAATGGTATACACGACATCAAAGGACCCGAACTGCATTTCGATCGAACTTGTCGCCGCCGCGGGAAGCTCCGATCCCGCCGTCGGGGCAACACATTGTCGCTTCAGAGTAAACAAATTAGGTGCACTTCACACTTCCCCTCTATTGGAATGCACAATAGATTAGAAATAAGAAAAAAAAATATGGTCAGGACAGAAGTTTAAAAGATGGCTTATACAGAATGGAAAAAAGAAACTTATCGGAAAAAAGAAAGAGATCGATCAATGCGTTTTCGAAGAGATCAAATACCTCCGTTGAGGAATCGAATTTGAATGCAGATTTCAATCATCGTCGTCGTCTTTTGTGCACAAGGAATTGAGAAGCCAATAACAGGATGCGTCGCTTATCACGTGATAAACAGAGGAGGAAAAATGGCCGAACGCTAAATCAGCAAAGCTAGCAGGAAACAACGAGCAGAACTGCTAACAAAAACTATCGATTGTTGAAACTATTCAAATGGCCGGTCAACGTAAAGGGCGATATTTGGTGGCGTGAAACACGCAAGAAACGAATGAGAATCGTGTAAGAGATTTCATTTGCGTGATATCCACGGGCTGCTTAGAGTTTGGCATAATTTTTTTTTTAAATTTATTTCCCGCTAATAACAAGCGTAATCTTTCACAGCCTTGAGTTTAAAACTATTCTGTCGATGCTGCAAGTTGTGAGTATGCTCAATTTTAAAACATGTAGAAAAGTTGTTCAGATAAGATATTTTACCTTCCCTCAGCAAGGCTGATGCCATCCTCCAAGAGACTGGCTCACTGCGTCATCTCAGGGTAACGTTTTCTGCTGACATGAAATAGAAAGATTATCTTAA